AAAAATTCATGGAAACCAATGAAAATGAAAACACAACTGTTCAAAATCTTTGAGATGCAGCAAAGGCAGTCCTAAGAAGAAAGTATATAGCAATACAAGCCTTTCTCAAGAAACAAGAAAGGTCTCAAATACACAACCTAACCCTACACCTAAAGGGGCTGGAGAAAGAACAGAAAATAAAGCCTAAACCCAGCAGGAGAAGATAAATAATAAAGATCAGAGCAGAAATCAATGAAATAGAAACCAAAAGAACAGTAGAACAGGGCAACGAAACTAGGAGCTAGTTCTCTGAAAGAATTAATAAGATTGATAAACCCCTGGCCAGACTTATCAGAAAGAAAAGAGAAAATGACCCAAATAAATAAAATCATGAATTAAAGAGAGATCACAACCAACACCAAAGAAATACAAACAAGCATAAGAACATATTATGAGCAACTATATGCCAACAAATTAGACAATCTGGAAGAAATGGATGCATTCCTAGAGACGTATAAACTATCATAACTGAACCAAGAAGAAATAGAAAACCTAAACAGACACATAACGAGTAAGGAAATTGAACCATAATCAAAAATCTCCCAACAAACAGGAGCCTAGGGCCAGATGGCTTCCCAGGGTAATTCTACCAAACATTTAATGAAGAATTAATACCTATTCTTCTGAAATTGTTCCAAAAAATAGAAATGGAAGGAAAACTTCCAAACTCATTTTATGAGGCCAGCATTACCTTGATTCGAAAACCAGACAAAGACCCCATCACAAAGGAGAACTACAGACCAATATCCCTGGTGAACATGGATGCAAAAATTCTCACCAAAACACTAGCCAACAGGATCCAACTGTACATTAAAAGGATTATTCACCACGACCAAGTGGGATTTATCCCTGGGCTGCAAGGTTGGTTCAACATCTGCAAATCAATCAATGTAATACACTACATTAATAAAAGAAAGAACAAGAACCATATGATCCTCTCAATAGATGCAGAAAAAGCATTTAACAAAATACAGCATCCTTTCTTGATTAAAAACTCTTCAGAGTGTAGGGATAGAGGGTACATACCTCCATATCATAAAAGCCATCTAATGAAAAACCCACAGTGAATATCATTCTCAATGGGGAAAAACTGAGAGCTTTTCACCTAAGGTCAGGAACGCGGCAGGGATGTCCACTATCACCACTGCTATTCAACATAGTATTAGAA